ATTTGTTTGGAGGTTTTTGATTACTGATTTAATCTCCTTACTACTAATTGGTCTATTTAGATTTTTTTTTTCTGATTCAGTCTTTTGAAGATTGTAAGTTTGTCAGCAGTTTTCTATTTCTTCTAGGTTGTACAGTTGATTTGTGTATACTCATTAATAATTGTCTCTATGATCCTTTGTATATCTGTGGTATCAGTTGTAACTTCTAATTTTTACTTCTGATTTTATTTCTCTAAGCCCTATTTTTTTCCCTTGGTGACTCTAGCTAAGGGTTTGTCAATTTTATTTATCTTTCCAAAGAACCAGCTCTTTATTTCATTGATTTTTTAATCATCTTTTTAGTCTCGATTTCATTGATTTCTCCTCTGATTTTTATTTCTTCCTTTTACTAACTTGGGCTTTATTTGTATCTCTTAAAGCCAGTGTATCCCTATTGATTTTTCTGTCTGAATGATCTATCAATTGGTGTGAGAGAGGTGTCAAAGTCCCCTACTATTATTATATTCCTGTCAGTTTCTCCCTTTAGGTCTCTTAATACTTATATTTTTTGGTGCTTGTATGTTGGGTGCATATATATTTGGAAATTACAGTCTTTGCTTTAAAGTCTATTTTGTTTAATATGACTATAGCTACACTGGCTTTCTTTTCATCTCCATTTGTATGGAATTTCTTTTTTCCATCCCTTCACTTTCAGTCAGTGTGCGTCCTTAATTATGAAGTGGGTCTCTTATAGGTAGTATATAAATGTGAGTTGGTTTCTATCTATTCAGCTACTCTATGTTTTTTGATTAGAGAATTTAGTCTATTTGCATTTATTTTCATTATTGGTAAGTATTTTACTTATTGCCATTTTGTTACTTGTTCAGTGGTTGTTTTTCTAGTTCTGTGCCTTCCTTTTTTCCTTTCTTCCTTCCCTTCTGGTTTGATGACTTTTTTCTGTGTTATTTTAGATCCCTTTCTCATGTTCTTTTATATAGTTTTGCTATGTAGTTATTTTGAGGTTCACATATATCATCCTATGTATATGAGTCAATTTTAAGTGGATAGCAACTTAAATTTGAGCATGTTCTAAACTCTATGTTTTTATTACCACACCACTTCATATTTTATGTTTTTGATGACATATTTACATCTTTTTATTTTAGGTGTCTCTTAACTAATTATTGTAGTTTTAGTTAGTTTTACGTTTGTCTTTTAACCTCCATAGTAACTTTATAAGAGATTAACTCATTACCTTTACTATATATTTACCTTTTCCAGTGAAAATTTTTACTTTTGTATGTATATATGTATTAATTAGTGACATTTCTCTTCTACTTAAAGAAGTTCCTTTAACATTCCTTCTAAGACCACTTTAGGAATGATGAACTCCTTTAGCTTTAGTATGAAAAATTCTATCTCTTCTTCAGTTCCAAATGATAACCTTTAGATAGACTATTCTTGGTCGAAAGTTTTTGCCTTTCAGTACTTCGAGTATATCATGCCACTCCGTTATGGCCTGCAAAGTTTCTGCTGAGAAGTCTACTGATAGACTTATGGTGTTTATCTTGTAAATAATAGTTTGTTTTTCTCTGCCTGCTTTTAAGATTCTCTCTTTAACTTTTGACACTTTAATTATAATGTGTCTTGTTATGGATCTCTTTGAGTTTATCATATTTGGAACTCTCTAGGATTCCTGAAGCTAGGTATCTGTTTCCTTGCCTAGGTTAGGGAAGCTTTCAGTCATTATTTCTTCAAATAAGTTTTCTGCCCTTTTCTCTTTCTTTTCTCTTTCTGGGACCCCTAGAATGCAAATGTTATTCTGCGTGATGTTGTCCCATAGGTCCCTTAAGCTATCTTCATTTTTTAACATTCCTTTTTTCCTTTTGCAGCTCTGTCTGGGTGAATTTCATTACTTTGTATTCCAGCTTGCTGACTCATTCATCTGCTTTATCCAGTCTGATGTTTAACCCCTCCAGTGTATTTCTCAGTTATTATATTCTTCAGCTCTATGGATTTCTATCTGCTACTTTATTATATTTTCTATCTCTTTGTTGAAGTCCTAACTATGTAAATCCATTCCATTCCCAAGTCCGGTAAGCAGCTTTATGACCATTACCCTGAATTCTTTATCAGATAGAATCCTTATCTCCATAGCATTATGGTCTTTTTCTAAGGTTTTATCTTATTCTTTCATTTGAAACATATTTTTCTGTTGCCTCACTTTCCTTGACTCTCTGTGTTTGTTTCTATGTATTAGGCCAGACAGCTACCTCTCTCAGCCTTGGAGTGCCCTTGTGCAATTGATGAAACTTCTCATCAAACTTGCTCTAGCTCTTGGTTGTTTCTTGAAACTTTGTGACTGTCTGATCAACCTGATTTATTATTGATATGTCCTTGTGGTTGAGAATGTACCAAGTCTTGTCAGTGTTCTAAGGGGAGGAATTTCATTTAGCATCAAGTTTCAGGCTAATCAAAAGTCAGACCCTCAGGCAGCAGCTTTAAAAATATGCAAATAATAGCCTTGTGGGGCCACAATCATAATCCCTGCTGCCTCCAGACCAAAAGATCTGAAGGCGTCATCTGGGTGACAGCTGCAAAGTGTGGGGCTCTAGATGTGTATATAAGCTCCTTTCTGCGAGGTCTTATTGAACTGTATCTAGGTGAAGGGGGTGCACAATGATGGTGTCTTTCTGCTTGTGTTCCCTGGGAGCACTTCTTTGGCCTCTAGATGTATGGAAAACTTGAAGCCTGTTCCTCAAGCTGAAGCTCCAGGATACGTAAATAGGCTTTTGTCACAGGAAGACAAGGTTGCCGTCTCAGTCGTCTGTCTTCAGTGCCCTGGAGTGGTGGCCTGCCAAGTACTATCTTTCTGATTCTTATATTCCCTTGGAGCTCAGGAATGTCAGCCCCCTTGGCTGCCAGGGCCAGGCAGTCAAGGAGCATCCTCTGTGTGGGTTGCACATATCCACTGGCTTTAACTAAGCAACTTGAGAGTGTAGGGGGTGGGGCACACTCTCCAGCTTGACAAAAGCAGCAAGGCTTGGCTTCAGCAAGGCAAAGGGGATAGTGCCATAGCGCATTACCGAGCTTGGCAGTGGCAGGGGAGGGGGGAGAATTTTGCATCTGAGTTCACCCGCCTGTGCTAGCAGGATAGGTAGAGAGTGCAATATTGGCATCTGCCAGTGGCATCCTCTGTCTCTGGGGAAAGGCCAACTGCCCCTGCCCCTCCGGCAGATGCTTTTAGGTTAGCAAATAAATTTCCTTCACATATGGTCTAGGTGCTTTTCAACCTGGTGTTTTTTTAACTGGGTCTTTGGGTGAAACCGCACACAATCACTTTAAAAGGGGCATCCTGGGGCTTTTTGAGCAGAGGGGGCCAACTATGTGGCCTGTACACTGCATCTCTGCCCCCTGCCTCCCAGACACAATGCTCAGCTTTGGTCTGTTGCATATTTTTGGCCACTGCATTTGATGTCATTTGATGAAAATTTTCTGAGGATAAAACAAATCTGGAAATGCCTGGGTTAGCTCATTATTGAGCAGGTAGGTCACCTGGGGGGTTGTCAGCTGGGTGCGGGAGCTGCTGGCCCTCCCCTGGGTCTGGCTGGCCAACTCTGCCTCTGACCAAGCCTCTTTCTGGCAGCCATGTCTTTCTTTAGATATGGTTTCTTTTTTAATTTTAATGTTTACTTACTTTTTAAGAAAGATAGAAAGAGAGAGCAAACAGGGGAGGGGCAGAGAGAGAGAATAAGACAGAGGGAGACACAGATTCCAAAGCAGGCTCTAAGCTCTGAGATGTCAGTACAGAGCCTTATGTGGGACTCGAACTCACAAACCATGAGATCATGACCTGAGCCTAAGTTGGATGCTTAAGGGACTGAGCCACCCAGGTGCCCCTAGATATGTCACTAGTACTGATCTAGGATCCAGTTACACTCGATAGTGGTTCTTCCTGTTCTGAGCCAGGAAACTTGAGCATGTGAGGTGCTGTTACATGAATGTTCTCTGAGGCCCTTCTTGTCATAACATTATGATCCAGGTTTGCCATCTTTATCTGCAAAGGAAAGCTCCTTTTCCTGTGACTGAGACACTGTCCTGAACACAGGTCCCCATTTTGTCTGTCACTCTCCGGGTGACCCTGGACCTCACACCACTGGCTGCTGAAGAGGGGGCCTGAAAACCTTGTTCCCTCCAATCCTCCAGGCCTCGTAGCAGTCCTTCAACAAACACTTATTTAAGGAAAACACCGATGAATGAATGAACAAATAATTCTAAAGTAAAATTGCCTATTGAGGGGCGCCTGGGTGGCTCAGTTGGTTAAGCATCCAACTTCAGCTCAGGTCATGATCTCACAGTTCGTGGGTTCGAGCCCCACATCGGGCCCCCATACTGCCAGCTCAGAGCCTGGAGCCTGTTTCGGGTTCTGTATCTCCCTCTCTCTCTGACCCTCTCCTGCTCATGCTCTCTCTCAAAAATAAATAAACATTAAAAAATGTTTAATAAATTGCCTATTGAAGAATAAATTCAAATTAAGAAACATGTAAACTTTTAAAGGATAGGAGAAGGAATAGGAAATAAGGTAAACTTAAGTTTCCATTTCCTCACCCACAAAATGAGTAAAATCCCTAATTTAAGGTTATATTATAGCTCCACCGTGATGGGGAAGTTAATCTCAAGTGTGTTGAAGGGCACTTTCCAGAATACAGAGGCTGAACATGAAAGGCTCAGTTTTTCAAAGGCAGGTAAAATATTAGTATCCAAGTAAAAGAGTTTTCAAAATAGTGGCTCAAGACTCCAGCAGGAAGCTGAAATGGAGACATTTCGCTCTTTTCTGTATACTCTCTATTTAGGAAGGATGTTTTCTCTCTCTAAGCTTTCAATGTGTTATAGGCCTGCAAACCATTCCTCCTGGGGAGAATAGGCCTTCTTCAAAATGTTCATTCTGCATGGGCTGCACATAAAAGGTTATCGTGTATTGACCTAGGATCGATAAAGAAGAATTTCTATAATGCTTTCAGCCGGATTTGTCCAGAGTGCCAGAATTCAGAAGTCAGTTCCAAAGCAACCCCAAGGTCTCCGAGCTGCTGAGGGGCCCATGCAATGCAATGATGTCCCTTGCTTTCCTGAAATCTTTTCTGGTTCTGTGGAAGCAGCTGGAAGTGCTAAAGGACCACTGGGGTCAGCTTAAACTGCAAGGCCAGGATGGCAGTTCTGTCTCCCTCCACAAACAGTTCTCAGAACTCTACGGGTAAGTGTTGCCAAAGTGGAAATTCTCATGGATGAGTGGAATCTGAAGTTTGGTAAACCCCTGGCCCTTGCTCTGAGGGAGAGATTTGCTCCATGAATTCTGGTACACCCAGCCCCCTAAGCTCTGAGGAAGCTGGGCAATGTGTCTATAAACAGTGCTTTACAGGAAAAGCCGGGTTCTACTGAATTCAGGGACAGTGCTGGGTTCCACTAAGCCACACTATACATCCTTTACACAGAGTTCTGTCCCAGGGAACTTGTGCTTCTCAAGTGTCCCCATGGTGCTGACTCTAAGCTTTTTTAGTTCATAGGATCCCGGGCAGCACTGGGTAGAGAGATGCTCTGCTGTGAACTCTTCCCTACTTTCTGCCCCATTAGACCCAAGTACTGAGTCTCTGAGAGTTTCGCCCACTGCAACATGAGGTCTCCGCTCTGCGGAATGGTGGGGTGTTCTCACACTTCAGGCTTTGGCTGGGATGACTTAGCTGGCAAGAAAGATATGTTGCCTTTGCCATGTGTCTGCTATCAAACAAGCATTTATCATCCTTGGATCTTACTGGGTGTCAGAAGGTTCTCTTTGGTGCCGTGGTACAATTTTATGAATTATCACAGTCAGCTTTCCTGGTAACTAGGGAATGAGAAAACCTGTCCATTTTCTTTAAGTTTATTCATTTATTTTTAGAGATAGAGAACACAAGTAGGGGGGAAGGGCAGAGAGGGCAGGAAAGAGAAAGAATCCCAAGCAGGCTCCATACTGTCAGTGCAGACCCCAGTGCAGAGCTTGAATTCATGGACCATGAAATCATGACCCAAGCTGAAATCAAGAGTCAGCCACTCAACTGACTGAGCCACCCAGGGGCCCCAAAACTTGTCGATATTTTGAAGAATGAAGACTGAAATTAAATGTGCCTAGTGGGAAAAGTTCACAGGATCTAATATTGACTAGGGGAGCAACAACTATAGTGAATTTAGATGTAGATATGAGTGTCTAAAATGGGTTGGGAGGTTTATACATGATGACAAGAAACAGAACATGAATGAAAATAATTGTCAGAGAATCTGAATGAGAAAAAATGTTTGCTTACTAATTTTGGTCTCTTCTTTAATAGAACTGACATCCTCTACCCCAGCATGAAAGCTATAGCTAGGCGGATGGGGAAAGAAGATGAATTTGAAGATCTTATAATAAGTAGTCAGTCTATTCTTCCCCCCAAAGGAGCTTCAGAAATTGAAATAAAAACTCAACAGGTATGCAGGAGCCATTTTGAATTTGACTTTGAAAATTTGCTTTACAGCATAATCATGTAACACTACACCCAAATGGCATTTTTTTCTAAGACATTAAGTGTAGATTGCAGGTATGTAAATCACTGAACAGGCTCGGGGGCTTGTGGGGCTTTGATTAAGCAAATAACTACCCCTAATGTTCCCATTTTGTAAGTCTGGATCTTCATATTTTGATTTTCCTCAAATTAAGGTGGACTACCACAAAAATAAATAAATAAATAAATAAGATTGTGATAGAGAACATAACCACTGACATCTTAAACATGAAACTAGGGGTGCTTGGGTAGCTCAGCTGGTTGAGCATCTGACTCTTGATCTCAGTTCAGGTCATGTTCTCACAATTCGTGAGTTCGAGCCCAGCGTGGGGCTCTGCTCTGACAGCACGGAGTCTGTTTAGGATTCTCCCTCTCACTCTCTCTTTGCCCCTCCCCCACTCGCACTGTCTCTGTCTCTCTCAAAATAAATAAACTTAAAAAAAAAAACACATAAAATTTAGCACACAATTATCTGCCCCTCCTCCCCACATACACCTATGGAAAAAGGAATATATTTAAAATAGCTCCTATGATTTTTTTTTTTTTCTGAGACTAAGACAACACAATTTATGCACTAGTCCATTTGGTATGTGTTCAATGATCTATGTGAAAGGCTGTTTTCCCAAGTGTTTGTTCACCTTTGTCCTGGGACATAGACCCGATGTAGCTGTGTTCACTGTAAGAGGCAAACAAAACCTCTAGCTGTTTGAGTGTCAATGCAGAGATTCATGTCCCCTGAACATCAAGGAGAATTCAGCTCCCCCCCCCTCCAACATACACATACCCCCGTCCCAAGCCCCATTGCTTACCCTTCTCAACCCTGGTTCTCTCTAGTACCTGGGGTCCTCTGACAGGGAGAAATGTGGACGCTACAAGCATAATGGGTAAAGTAAGGGTTCATGGTTATTGGGAAAGTTTTCTATTGTTCATGTTTAGAATCAAGTTTCAGGCCCATGGGTTTCTCTTGTAATAACAGCTCATGAAATTCCTGATCACATTTAGAGACCCCAAAACACATGAGGTCACCTCAGACATTGAGCACTTTGCAATTTAGCAGAACTTGGTAAAAAAAAAAAAGGGGGGGGGTTTAGGGTGGGGATTGTGTTTTATCTATGTGGGCCAGGAAGATAAGATGTTGGTTTCTGAAGAGGTATATCTACCCTCACAGAAGCACTTAGAAACCCAAGAAAAGAACCTTTTTGTCTTACCTGGGAGAGAGTAGGTAAGGGACAGGACCTAATCCCAGACCCTTCTGCAGGAATTTGACTTAGGAGCCTAGAGTAAAAGCTGAGTGAAGAAAGTGATGCAAACTTCTTACTCTAGCTTCAGAAGCTTCTGGAAAATCTTGAAATTCATATGATCCAGGAAGTGTTAAGAAAAGTTAAGAAAGAGAGAGCACTGGTTGTATCAGAAAAGTCCAAGGAGCATGGTACTCTCCCTACAGGTAAAGTATGTTTATTTTATTACTTTAGAAAATAGCATTTATTGTTTTTTTCCTAATTATGAAAGCAATCCATGTATCATTTTCATGGGAGAAAGGTACTACAATGTCCATACAATGATATAAAAATTACTTTTTACCACCTTGGACCAGAAAGAAGAACTGTTAACATTTTGACATATTTCCTTCCACTTAAATTTTTTTAAATAGAAAACATTTGTTAAGTTCAGTCTCAACTCTCTCGATTAACTTCTAACTAAAATAAAGTTGAAATGGGGAAAACATATAAGCTTTTCTTGAAATATATTTAAGTGCATGAATATCATAATATATATGTCAAAATCTTACAAACAAAAGGGAAGGCAATCAAAATTATTTCCTTTCATCTGAGCTCTAAAGTCAGGGCCACTTCATGGACATGTAATCAGCACACTTACACTGGACTCAGGGGTACTTGGGGTTTAATGCTTTATGGCTGCCATCTTGAAACTCTTAATTTTAACTAAGAATTTGTGTTCTGTAAGTGGAATCCACTGAGTCAATGGAGCATGCACCAAGACTTGAAGACTTGCCTTACACAGAGTCCTGCTTCTTACTGCCTCCCCACCTTGCCAGGAAGGGCTTTCAGCTGCCTACTCCTCTGCTCTCTGGTACCCTGGGCTCCCCTAATCTCCCCCTCACCATCCGCACCCAGCCATTGCTGCCGCCTTTCACTCTGGGGGTTGTGGGGGGGGGGGGAGGCCTGAGCAGGATGAGGATGGGGAAATGTATACCTAGTAGTATCTCAATGACCCAAGTCTGGCAACATCATGGTACATCTAATGGGTGACTCAGGAGGAGCAAGCCTCTTGCCTATCCTTGCCTATCCTTAGATTTGTAGAATATCCCAGGACAGAGGTTACAATACCCTAGGGATTGCCTGTCCACACTGGGCCCCTGGGAAGGAAAGATGCGTAGCTCAACTTCTCCACCCCTGGCCAGGGCATGGGGCCTCAGTTCAGTAGTTGCACAGGCACTTGTGCTCCCAGTCACAGCGTAGAGCCCCTTGGTGCCTGTAAGTATCTCACTTGCTTCACAAGAATTCCCATGCCTGGGGAGTACAACATTAAAAACAAATAAAAATACCATGACAGGTCAAGAGAGAGACTGCAAAAGAAAGAAAACACTATATTTTAGTATCTATAATGGTGTTTTTCTTCCCTCTTTTTTTTAATATATTTTTTTAGTGTTTTATTTATTTCTGAGAGAGAGGGAGACAGTGTGAGCAAGGGAGGGTCAGAGAGAGAGGGAGACACAGAATCTGAAGCAGGCTCCAGGCTCTGAGCCAGCTGTCAGCACAGAGCCCAACACGGGGCTCAAACTCATGAACTGTAAGATCATGACCTGAGCCAAAGTTGGACGCTTAACCGACTGAGCCACCCAGGCGCCCCTTCCCTCTGTTTAAACAGAGGCCTGCATTTTTATTTTGCACAGGGCACCATAGATTATGTAGCTGGTCCTGTCTGAACTGTCTACTCCTAACTCCTACTCATTCTGTAGGAAAATGCACAACCTTTGGACTATGGAAAAGTTGTTTGACTAGCAAACTAAATTAGATTTTCCCCTTGAGACAAAGTCCACAAATATTGTAATGTTAATTAATAACCTCTGTTCTCACCTAAGACATTGTTGTTTTATCAGTGCTTCAAGTAACTGAATTCTATAAATAGGGCTTTGGCAGAAGGCTGTGCAGTGAGAGGGCAAGTCACTACTCAGCTAGGGGTGTCACCAGAGAGCTGAATGTCACCAAAGAGCTGAGTATGGTTGAGCTTCATTTACAGAACATTTAACAGACACAAAGCACATGTTGTCTGTGCTGTGATGGCTGCTTCCAGGCAGCTCCCCTCTGAGTCTTGGGAAAAAATCCACAAGTGCGCAGCAGGTGCAACCATCTGCATGTTTCAGGCTGTGGTTTAATGAGACACCCAGATGAGGGGCAAGGGACAAAGCTTTTTTGCATTGCAGCTCTGCTCTGTGCTGTCCTGTGCTTGGAAAGAACCTCTGTAAGGGGCTGGTGGGAGTTAGGCGGAGGGGAGAGCTAGAGTTATTTTTGATGGTGATAAAATTGATATTATCAAAACTTACTTTGGCTAGAGTGTACCGGCCAATTCTAAACTCTTGTTCAGATTCTGTACTCATGTACGTGTAAATGCCAGTAGGGAGGGTGTTTTCCCATTGTTGATTCAATGTGGTTCCCCCAGTGCAAGTGATGGGAGTCCCCACTGGGTGCCAAGTGTTCTTCATTGTAGTCTTCTTGAGACCTCTGTGGGCTGGGAACTTTGAAAGAAGGCAATAAAACCTTGGAATCCCCACCTTCCTACTGCTTATCTCAGCAGGAAGAAGCAGCCACAGTGGATGGGGCTTCCAACATCCAACCTTCGCGGTCAAGGTTAACTTAGGGTTAGGGATTTCTACAGAGGAAGGTAGCAATGGAGATTATTGAGACCCAGGGAACATGCAAGCCTCTTGTCCTTCCCTCAGGGTCATCTCTATCCCTGTTGGACAACTCTGATGTATACATTTGTACCTGCCAGAAATTAGCCCTCTAATCCTTCTCTATCTCTTCCCTCCTTCCCACCTTGTCTTGGAGCTTAATCTTCTCATATAGCTTGTGAATGGGTTTCCAGTGAGCATCTGAAAATGCAGCAGCCACACCTGGTCCAGTGTTGGTTTGTGATAGCTGAACTAGTGCTCCCCTGGGAGCTTTAAAAAGCAGCTCCAGACATTCTCGTTCAGCCTCGGGGCTTGGCTTAGCAGAGAGATGGGTTCCACTGATTCAGAAAGGCTCTGCTGTTCCTCATATTTGGCATTTTAGCATTCAAGTCATTTTTAATTGATTTTCTCAATTTCTCTGAGCATTTATAAGGTCAGCAGTCTCCAAAGTGGAGTACATATATCCCAGGGGTGTGGGAAGAAAATATTAAAACTTCTAAGTATATTAAATCCATATGTAAGAAGTCACATGTCACACTCCACACTGAGTGTGGCCTGAAGTGGCCACTTGGAGGCAGTCCACAAGCAAGCACTAAGAAATAGTAAAGACACTTCTAGTTCTGGTACATGCTTATCTTCAGTCATAGTATGAGGTTAAAAAAGATAACCACATGTGATAAGAAGTCAGACAAAAAATGTTTAAAGGTCAAGAAAACTCTAGGAATGTAGATTGAACTCAGTTCTCATTGTTGATGAGCCTGGCCCTAAGTACATCATACTATACAGTATTAGCCAATGATAGTATTGTAGGTAGTTAGAAAAACATAAATATACATATGATAACAGTGAGTAGACAAAAATGTTTTGCTTGAGGGAAGCACAATCCAAACACTTAAGAGAGGGCGGCTGAGGCCAGCATTCCCAGCAGTGTGCTCTGGAACACCAGCTCCTCAACATGCTAGTGTAGGAGTTCTCTCATTCACCCTGCACTAAAAGACTCCAGTCTGCCCGAAGCTTCCTATTCCCTTGGTAACACAAGCCAGCAAAATAGTCACTAATCACAGTCTTTGGGTTGCCTGTGTTTACCTAGCATCATTGATCATGGTTTGCTCCAAACCTGTTTATGCCAGTTTTATTTGTCATTGTATGTGGGTAATTTGATTAAGTATTATATAAACCAATTACATGGGAGTACAAAAAGAGATCTGCTCAATAAAAACCAAGTTGATGGGTGCCTGGGTGGCTAAGTTGGTTAAGTGGCCAACTCTTGAGCTCAGCTCAGGTCATTATCGAGCCTCGTATCAGGCTGTACACTGATGGCACGGAGCCTACTTGGGATTCTGTCTCTCCTTCTCTCTGCCCCTCCCTTCTTGATCTCTCTCTCTCTCTCTCTCTCTCAATAAATAAACTTTAAAAAAAAGTTGAAATGAATAAACTGTGGTACATCCAGCCAATGGAATATTATTTAATGATAAAAGGAAATGAGCTACCAAACCATGAAAAGACATGAAAAGGCTAAATATTGCATGATTCCAACCATATGAACATTTGAGAAAAGGCAGACCTATGGAGATAGTAAAAAGATCAGTGGTTGCCAAAGGGTTAGAGAGGAGATAAGGATGAACAGGCAGAGGTTTTTAGGGCAGTGTAACTATTCTGTATGATAATATAATAGTGGATAAGTGCCAATTATACATTTGTCAAACCCATAGTTTCACCAAGATTGTGAATGTAAACTATGGACTTGGGTGATAATAACATGTCAGTGTATGCTCATCAGTTATGACCACACCGGTGTGGGATGTTGATAGCTGGGGAGGCTGTGTGTTGGAGGTGAAGGGGGCAGGGAATATATGGGAAATCTCTGTACCCATCTGCTCAATTTTTCTATGGACTTAAAACTGCCCTTAAAAAATGATACATTTGGATTTTTTTCATGGTCTCTTAATTGTTTTCTTCATAGAAAGAAAGAAACAAGTAAACAACAACAACAACAAAACACACACACACACACACACACACACACACACATTAGAGATTGTAGACCATGTACTATGTGTTATGGGTTATAGAAGAAAGATAGTACAGAACTCCAGTGAGTGGGCACATACAAAGAAAGGCCTAAGTTCTATGTTAGAAAATTGGGAAATGTTTGTATATTTTTGTATTTTTAAGTTAAATAAAATGTTTTAAAATACTACATGTCATTTTTTGAGCATTCTCTAGTTTATCAGACTTCTTTTGATGAACCAACCCTTACCCTTGATTGCATTGGATAAAAGGATTTCTTCTGTGTTTTGCAGGGGTTATAGGGGAAAGATTTTGTTTGTTTGTTGTCCAAACAAGTGTGGGAAACTTGTGGTAAATAATTTTTTTAATGTCTTTATTTTATTTTGAGAGACAGAGGTAGAGAGAGAGTGGGAGAGGAACAGAGAGAGAGGGAGACACAGAATCTGAAGCAGGTTCCAGGTTCTGAGCTGTCAGCACAGAGCCCAACGTGGGGCTCGAACCTATGGACTGTGAGATCATGACCTGAGCCGAAGTCGGATACTTAACCGACTGAGCCACCCAGGCACCCCTGTGGTAAATATTTCTTTGCTCTAGACCTCAGAGCCTTTGCTATCCTACTGTGCACTGTAAATCTCCAGAAGAGAGAGTATGAAATATTCTTTACATTTATTTGACCACAGAACCCTTTTCTCCCCTTGGGACTATTTATCATCAGCTCAAGGGACTAGCATTCTGGGGAGCAGTTTGAGAAACACAGGAGTACAAAACACATGTATGCATGTACTTGAAACAATAAGGTTTCAACCTCCCCACCTTCTAGGGGAACCCTGGTGGTCAGGAGAACAACCTTGGTTGGCAGTTGTGTGCCTTCAAGTTTCAGTTCTGCTTGGCTCAGGACCTAGGAACCACTCAGGCACAGAGGCTGGTGGTTGTGTTAGAGAAGTGAAATGCTACCAAACCAAGATACCCTTCCTAGAGGGAGGAGGCTGCATAGGAGTGGGGAGAGCATTCATAGAGGGAGAGAAGAGGAAGTGGTTTGGTCAGGAGGAAGTCAGAGTTTTCTGCAGTCAAAGGACTGAGGCACAGAATGAGAGGAAAGAACAAAACCGTAATTTAACCCCCAGTGTGCTCTCTCCTTCCCACCTCCACGCTACTGTCAAAAACTGCTTCATCTCAAAGAAGCCACGACCACACACACACTGAAAATGAGACACATTTGGAGACCACCAACTCCACTTGGCCAGGAGTTACTTCTCTTGGATGAATTCTACTCTCCTTGGCTTCTCTGACTCCTGCCTACAGATGTACTTACATGTCTGAACTTGAACTCATGAGGAAGAAGCATGTGAGAAGATTTCCAGCACTCTGGTAAAACACTTCCCCTTCAGCTGAGCCCAGAGCTAAACCCCAAACCAGCTCTGTGGGCATTTGCCAGCTGATAGTCCCCAAACCAGAAGTATGTGGCAGATGTGGTCTCTTGCCAGGCTTTTGTATAAGCCAGACACCTACCACTCAAGTACCCTGGAAAAAGTATCCAATTTTGTGTCTGAAAAATCTCTGAAACATACATGAACTTCATCTTGTCAAAGCTTAGACTTACAAAAAGTCTTAAACATCTTAAGAATTGTGAACTTCTAGGCATATTAACTCTTTTGGATTTTCCGCTTCAGCTGTGCCAGAACAATGGTGTTATGTCAACTCACCTTTATTGTCCTAAAGGAAAAGCAAAGTCAGATTTATATGTTTATGATGGAAAGTAGCCAACTGTAGAAGAATTGTGAAACCCCATTTTCAAAATCAGGACCACCCAGTAAATAGCATAATTGCAAATACCGGGGACTCCTGTGCTATCATTTCCACATTTCTGAGAAGATTGTGCTGGATGCTTCCTCTTGTGTGCACCGAGTCTCCTGTCAGAAAAATTAAAGTATCACATCTGAAATTAGAAACAGCTGGCAACAGGGAGTGGCCCTGTGTGTACTCTTGCTGATGGCCAGAACCGCCACAGCCGAAAAGGGAATGGGGCAGGTCTTGGCTTCTATCTCTGACTCCATAGGTTTCTCTTTGTTTCAAGACTCCCCTAGGGCCATGCACAAGGAAGTAGGCCCTACCCAACATAATTAAACATACACATGCGCTTTAGCTCTCCCATATGGCAGTTAAGGAGTGTTGACATATTTCCACTGCTCTAGCACCGACGTGTTATTTTTAAGTTTGATTTTTTTTAACAGCTCATCCATTCACCTGGTTCAAAACTCAAAATGATACAACAATATGCATATTTAGAGACTGAGTTGCGCCAATGATCCCCTTTTGCCACCCCAAGTAACCATTTTTATTAGTTTTTAGTATATCCTAAAGGTACTTCTTTGTGCCTATACTAATTCATTCTTTCATTCAATATCTATTTACTGAGCACCTTGTGTGTCCTACACTGCTATATTTGAGGCACCATTCGGGGGTACAACCTTACTGTCATGGAGTAAAACTCCTTACTCACAGGGAGTTTATCATCTAGAAGGCGATAGACAGATAATAAGCAACAAACATAAGAAGTAAGAAAATAACGGAGTAAGGAAGATGGTGGTATGGAGGTTTGAAGGGGGAGCATTGAAATTTTAAATAGGGCAGTCAGGATAGACTTCAGGGAGAAAGTGACATATTGAGCAAAGTTTGAAGGAGGTGAGGGAATTTTCTACGTGGGTACCTGGGGGAAGAGCATCCCAGACAGAAGAACAGCCAATCCAGAGGACTTGAGCAAAGGTGGGCCTACCATGTTTGTGGGGCAGAAAAGACCCACAGCTGGAGTGGAGAGAGAGAGGGAGAGAAGGAGGAGGGGAAGTCAGAGAGGAAGGGTGAAAAGAGAGTGGATCATGCAGTGTCTGTTCTTAGTGTTTGCTCTGAGTGTGAGGTGGTGGCTGCCCCAGATTTTGATCTGACATATTTTAGTGGAATCTCTCTGGCTTCTGTGTTGAGAATGGACTGTAAAGGAAAATGGAAGAAGGGAGAGGCTGCTTTGGAGGCCACTACAATAATCCCAGTAACGGGAGATGGTGGCTCAAACAAGGTTGGGAGCAGTGGAAGTATTAAGTGGTCAGATTCTGGGCATGTTTTTGAAGTAACTACTAATGGATTGTGTGTTGGGTGTGGGAGAAAGAGAAGTGTCCATGATAAAACTCCCAAGATTTTTGACCTGAGCAATTGGGAAAATAGAATTGCCATCAGCTGAGATGGCAAGTTAGGGAGAGAAGATTAAGAATTTAATTATGCACAAGTGATGTTTGAAATGCATTTTAGGGGCACCTGGGTGGCTCAGTTAGTTAAGCACCCAACTCAATTTTGGCTCAGGTTATGATTTCACAGTCATGAGATGGAGCCCACTTAGGATTCTCTCTCTTACTCTCACTCTGCCTCTCACTCTCTCAATCTCAAAAAAATAAATGAAAAAAAATTTAATTTATAATACATTTTTAAAAAATGAAAAGCCTTTTAGGCATCCAAGAAGAGATGCCAAGTGAGTATTATATCTAAATTTGAAGGTTGGACACTCATGTTAAGAGCTGAGTGTGGGGAGGCAAGCCTGGGTGGTTCAGTCAGTTAAACGTCTGAGTCTTGATTTTGGCTCAGGTCATAATCTCACGGTTCATGAATTTGAGCCCCACGTCAGGCTCTGCACTGATGGCATGGAGTCTGCTTGGAATTCTCTCTCCTTCTCTCTACGCCCCTCCCCCTGAGCTGGCACTCTCTCTCTCTCTCTTTCTCTGTCTCTCAAAATAAATAAATAAACTTAAAACAAAAGAGCAGGGGGTGGGGAGAGGACAAGGAGAACCAGAAAAAGGGACTTAGAAGGAGTAGACAGTGAGGTAGAGGAAAACTAGGACAGAGTGGTGTCCCAGCATCTAGTAATGAAAGTTTCTCAAGCAGGAGGAATGTGACAAATTGTGTGAAATGCTTCTGGTAGTCAAGTAAAAGCAATGTTTTTATTCATGTTGAGGTCACTGGTGTTTATAACAAAATCAGTTTCAGGGGAATGATGGAGGGGAAAGCTGGGTGAGTGGGCTTACAAAGGATTTTGAGAGAAGTCACAGAGAGCCAGGATAGGCCTTTCTTCCTGAGAGTTTTGCTGAAAAGGGAGCAAAGAAATCAAGCAATAGCTGAAAAGGGGAGTGGGGTCAAGAGAGGGATTTTTATGAGGTGGGAGAGATAATGTGAGCTATTGTGAATGATCCAAGAGGGGAGAAGTGATTTTGGAGGATGCTGGCTTTCTGGAGCAAGAACCTTGAATAGGCATGAAGGGATGCCCCCTCATTTATTAAATTTATCAAATCTTTCTTATAAAAGATAATATGTTATATTCACTTTTCCTCACCTTGCTTTTTTCACATAGAAATCTATGGTTCTCAGGATGCTTGAGTGGCTTGGTCGGTTAAGAATTCAACTTCGGCTCAGGTCATGATCTCATGTTTTGGGATTCAAACCCCACGTCAGGCTCTGTGCTGACAGCTCAGGGCCTGGAGCCTGCTTTGGATTCTGTGTCACCCACTCTCTTTGCCCTTCCCCTGCTCACGCTATGCGCCTCTCTGTCAAAAGTAAAAAATAAACATTAAAAATTTTGAAAAGAAAAAGAAAGAAATCTATGGTTCTTTTCCTATCAATACATGGAGAAGTTTCTTTTTAGAGCTGCATACTATCCCATTGGAAGGATATACCATAGTTTATGTGTTGCTTCCAAGGTTCTGCTGTCTTAAACAATGCAACTCTGAATAATTGCATATATGCCTCATCTTGTATATGTCAGCCTATTGCTGCTTCAATCCAGGAGCTAAAGTTCATAGTCTGTCTGCCCTCAACATTTCTAGTGTAGGGCTGTAAATATAATAGCTCTTCATTAATTTCTGTTAGCTGTAATAGACCAAAATAATTGTTCAGATACATTTAAGGACTTAATGAAAATAGATATCACATAGGATCAATAATAACATTTGATTGGGGATCTTTAGTTAAGATAACAGAATATTGTTCCTGGGGCTTCAGAGGTACTTTTCCAAATTTTTTCATTAGGACTTTTGTTAGAGATCTTCCTTATTCCTATGTTCTGGAGGACCCTGTGTCCCAGCCACTTCCTCCCCTCCCCCTTCCTCACCCATTAGTTTTTGTGGATTTGGAAATAACAGCTTCTTGTGTCCAGTGTAATGCCATTAATCGTCATTCGATGTTTCATGATACTAGCATTGTTATGTTTCTCCTCCTAGACCTTTGGAAGCACCATGTCATGAAAGAAAACTTTTCAGTTATCAGACCACAAATAGTTGAAAAATTTATACAGAGATTGATGGAAAATTACCAGGATAGTGGACTAGAGGTATGTACTGAATGTTAGTCACTTTGGAGTGTGTTTTTTTTTTGTAACATGAACCCAAACAAGGAACCCTTAACCCATTTCCCAATGCTTCCCTTACTCCCTTAGAATGAATATATGAACACTGAGGCTTAAAGTAGCAATCACTTGTTATCATTTTAATATTGGGAAAAGATTGATTTCTAATAAATTATGGCAGAGAAATTAGAATATGCACGTTGACTAATTTCAGGTTTGGCCAAGTTTTTAAAGTAACTTTGGAGTCTGTTGATGAATGAGTTGTTTTTAGCAACATTTCCTGTGTTGATTTTTTAATATTGAAAATTTTAAAGAGAGAAACTAAAATAGCCAATAATTCCACTACCCAGAAAACATTTTTTAAATGTATAATACAATATAAAACAATAACGACAACTCACAGAAAGGTAATATTTCCAACCCTCCTTATTCCACTATCCCCAGTTTCCTCTCCACAAAGCAAACCAGTTTCAACAATTTTTTTGGTGTTTGTATCATATTTTTGAATCCATATATTTGAATCCATAACAACTCTGTATAATATGTATTTAACAATAATATGTATTTAATACACACAATACACATACACACAGTCCTTAAAGTTTCCAAGTGTTCACTCTTGACTATTTCTAAATAGTGTTGAAAAGGCAAGATACAAGAGTGTATGTGGATATGTGGCCATAGCAGAGCTTTTAGGATCTTTAACAAATTAAGCATAAGTACATTAGGTAGATACAAATCCAGTTGCCTTTGAAATTCAACCGTTCCTTTAAAACCTGATTTAGCAAAACATACCTAATTTTTTAAAACAACATTTCCCTCAAATTTCTATTTTTCTAAGTGCTTCAAACATTCCCCACAATTTTATAATAAACACTTCAGTTTTTAATTATGAGACAGAGAATTCACTAGCTTGGTTGAGGATACATATTTTTCTGAGAGCTTAATTATTTATACATATTTCACTTAAGCTTTCAATGATACCCACGTGTGGTACTGAGTATTCTGAGAGGGTGACGTGGTTCCCTTTAGTCCCTGCAGCTCAGGAATTCTCGACCAGGGACACAGAAGTGATTAGGTCAGGGCATGCTCAGAAATATGTTTGAAGCACAAAATTTTGTGGCTCTTCTCAAAAAAAAAAAAAAAGGAAAGAAATTCTGACACATGCTTCATCATGGATGCACCTTGAAGACCTTATGCTCAGTGAAAAAAGCCAGTTACAAAAGCATAAATGCTGCACAATTCCACTTATAGGAGGCACCCACAGTAGTCAAATTCATGGAGACAGAAAGTAGAATGGTGGTTGTTAGGAGATAGAAGGAGGCCAAATGGGGATTTGGCGTTCTGTGAGTATAAGAATTTCAGTTTTGCAGGCTGAAGACAGTTCTAGAGATTGATTGTACAACAGTGTGAATGTACTTAATGCCACTGGACTTTACACTGAAAAATAGTTTAAATGGGGGTGCCTGGATGGCTCAGTTGGTTAAGCATTTGATTCTTGATTTCAGCTCAGGTCATGATGTCAGGGTTGTGAGTTCAAGCACCACACTGGGCTCCATGCTGGGCTAGGAGCCTACATACAAAAAGAAATGGATGAAACAGCAAATTTTATGTTACATATATTTTACCACAATAAAACAAACAAAAAGTTTGTAGCCCAAGATCTGCTCAGCTCCTATGTATATACTTTACTCCAACACTGAAAATGGGGTCATCTGGGAAAGAAATGGGAGTGTTAGGACAAACCCATATCAGGTATGACTGAAACTCAAGGCACACTGAATAGGTTGGTTTCTGCCTGCCAGGGTCCCGGGCTAACGAGATGTCAGGATGTTAGATCCCTCCAAATTCTATGCCAGGTGGACTTCTAGCCTCTTCTGAATCATCTGCAAAGACAGAACTCACTCTTTCCCAAACCCGCCCCCACTCCCCAGCCAATCCTGGTGGCTCATATTTCAAGCAGCTTCTACTGAGCTGGATTTGGCCTCTCACCACCTCCAGCATGGATTCTAGTTCTGTCCCTGGGACACCACAGATCAGGGTTCTGACCCCTCACAACAAGCCTTTGGATATCTAAAGGCAGGTCAGTCAGAGAAGCTCAGCTACTGCCAATGCTGGCATGTGTGAAGCGTCTGTAAAATTACGAGGGGCCTGCTCTAGTAGCACAAACCCAAACAGGTACCCCTCTGGGTGGTGGGTTACAAATCGTCACCCCTTCCTCCAGATGGGTGCAGTCCAGGCTAAGGCATGTGGAATAGGAAAGGGCGCAGATGCCACACTCCTTCCTCACCTGGGTGCTTCTGTGCAAAGTACAGACTGCACATGCACACACTGAGGACTGAGCCCAGCCTTTTCTTCTTCAGACTAAACCTCCTTCCTTTCCTTCAATCATTTTATATGAGCAGCTCTACCATCCTGCACAGTCCCCTCCAAATTCAAGATTGTCTGACCAGCAAAGAGTGCCTTTGTCCTGTGTGTCCTCCCTTTGATTAATGCTCATGAGCGTGCCGGGTGTTGGGAGCCATGTCACAGATGACTCACTAGGCTGATGGTCACCTGAAGCCCACATTGCCTTCAGGCATCCTGCTGCTGCCATATTATTAGCCTTGGTTTTGTTCAATTTGGTCCATGATGAACTTCTTGAAATCCTTAAAAATCTGGATTTTTATCATTCAGCACTCTCTCTCCTCTCCTAGGTTCGTGTCAGCCTGCCCCCAGTATCCTCATTCAAGTCATCACTAACAGTGTATGCCAGGACAGGCCTCAATCCCTGTGCTACCCACTATGGGTCCCCTTCAGGCTGGCCATGCTCTTTGGGCACAGTGTTTCAGTGGTCAGAAGCTCATCCAGTTGTACTGTCACCCAGCCTGTGTTCTCCATTGGTCCACAAGGACATCATGAGAAACCTTTTAGATGTCCTGCTGAAATCCAGATACATTGCAAGCACTATATATTTCCCGAGGGAAAGGTTAATCTGACCTGATTTTCCCTGAATCCATATTAGCCTCTAGTGATCTTTGCTTTCTTCCCCAAATTCTAGAAAAATAGCCTTTCACAATCAGTTCTAACATCTTGCTCAAATGGCATACCACACACTGACCTGAAGTTAGAGACTGACCCTTATGGCAAATCAGAACTATCTGAACTATAGAACTATAGAACTATCAGTCTATTGTGTGAATTCCAGAACCATCTCCATATGTCAAATGTCATTCACTCGTTTAGCAAGTGTTTATAGATCTCCCATTTTTTTCTAGGCACTTTGTTAAATTAAAGGCAAAATGTAGAGTTCTTGCCCTCAGAGAACGTATGGAACCAGGTGACCCAGGAGTGTCAGGAAAAGGCACTTCACGTTAAATGCTTTGAAAGAGGCATACATGGGGGATACAACCCAGTTAGCAGGTAGGGAAGAAATAGGGAAGACTTCTTGGAGGAGGTGTTGTTTGGGCCAAGTCTTAAAGCACAAATAGGAGTTGGCCAGATGAAGAGGGGCTGAGGAGGGAAGGCAGAGCAATCTAAGAAGGGAGTATAGCAGAGTTTAGGAGGACGTTGAAAAGGTGGACAAAGCCAGTTGCTGAATGACCTTGTAGACAGTTCTTAAGAGTTTGGATTTTTTTTTTTTAAATATTTTTTTACTTATTTCTAGGACAGAGAGAGAGAGAGACAGCGTGAACAGGGGAGGGTCAGAGAGAGAGGGAGTCACAGACTCTGAAATAGGCTCCAGGCTCTGAGCTGGCAGCACAGAGCCCGACGCGGGGCTCGAACCCACGAACCGCGAGATCATGACCTAAGCGAAAGTCGGACGCCCAACCGACTAAGCCACCCAGGCGCCCCTTAAGAGTTTGGATTTTATCCTTGAGTCAGTGGGAAGTCATTGAAGCACCTTGTCAGCAGAGGTGGGTTTTAGAAACATCATCCAAACACCCTGTATGTGCCTGATAGATACTGGACGAATTACGAGGGGCTGCAAGATTAAGCAAACCACAGAAGCACAATTTGCTTCCAACAGAGCCAGACTTTGCCGTAACAAGGCCTGGTGCCTGCCATGCTTCACCCCAGGATGGCTGTCTAGATCAATCTATCGGGCACTCTGGTGCTTTTCCAGCCAGTGCCATTCATCATAGTTCAGATTTAACTGTTGGTGAAGGCATCAGCCCACAGGAGGACATGGTCTTCACTCTGTAGTTTTAATGGAAGCCAGGAGCCTGCCTTGAAGGGGAAGCTGACAGATGAACCCACTTCATGCTGCAATTTGGCACAGAGCTGGCATTTAGTGACCTAGGAAGGCAAGGGTGGGCTGCAGAACAGCTTAAGAAACAAATTGCTCTGGGGGCAACTGGGTGGCTCAGTAGTTTGAGTGTCCAACTTCAGCTCAAGTCACGACCTGGCAGTTGGTGGGTTTGAGCCCCACATAGGGTTCTCTGCTGTCAGCACAGAGGCCACTTCAGATTCTCTGTCCCCCTCTCTCTGCCCCTCCCCCACTTATTCTCTCTCTCTCTCTCTTTCTCCCCCCAAAATAAATAAACATTAAAAAAAGAAACAACTTGCTCTGAGAGCTCATAGAAAAATTATGTCAATAGAAGCCACACAGGCTGTAGTCCCACAACAGATGCTCTTCAGGCCGCTCCAAAGGCTGCCTCTGGAAGGCTGAGTAAGTCTGCAGAGCCAAGGTTCACCTGGAGAGAGGGACTCATAGGAGCTTGAGAGTCTCCTGCAACTCTCTGTCACCTGTCAGTAACAGCTTCCTGTCTGCTTCATCTCAGATGTGCTCCCCACTGCATGTCCCCACCGCAAATGCTCTTCCCGGGGCCCTTATCCCCTCTCGTTGCCTTCACACTCACTTTCTATGCATCATCCCCTTAAGTTGATCTTTCAGCTGAAAAGCCTGAGCAGAGCCACTGAGGGAAGGAATCAACACAATTTCTCTGGTCTCCAGGGATGCCCAAAGAGGGTCCTGGCCATTCCTACCTCTGTGGTGTAACACA